TATAAGTCGGAGTCACCTAAAGTGACCTGTACGACTTATCCATATCTCATCACATATCTCATCAATCATGGCTACCATATAGTATATAAGTTGGAGTCACCTAAAGAGACCTGTACGACTTATCCATATCTCATCACATCTCATCAATCATGGATAGCATATAAGTCGGAGTCACCTAAAGTGACATGTACAACTTATTCATATCCATCACATATCTCATCAATTAGCTCATCTACCAAATCCTGCACACGAGTCGAAACCACCTAAAGTGGTCTGCACGACATGCTGGGTGTAAATAAATACGCTCAAGTGCTACAATCACGCGAAGGCTATGCGAAGTATCGCAAGTCACCTACGAGTCGGAACCAACTAATGTGGTCTGTACGACAGGTTGGCACCTACCTTGGATCCAAGGTGAGCATGTGGTGCGGGAGGTGAACGATCACGTGAAGGCTAAGCCCTAGCCACGGGCGGAGCAGTAACACCGATGTGCAGGATAATGAGCATTAAATACATCTTAACACAATCATACTCACTACCATCACTATCATCAACATGTACTCACCTGAAGCTTACCTGGGCGTCCACAGCGTCATTTGGCACTTCAAAACATTCACAATAATTAGGTTCAGGTAATATATATAAGAATATGCCATGATGCAAATCTAAGAATCAGGCATTTCATAGTATTCCCCAAATATATAATATGGCGTAAAATATACAATCAATAATGCCCTACTCCCAAACTATTTACTTTCAGGAATAATTATCTGTGAAAAGCCCAACTAGACACTAGTTTAATTAACTATCATTACTTATGTTTTGCTTACTTCAATTTTCTTGCTTTATCACTCTTTGTTTTATGACCAACATTTATTCACCACAACATAAGGTTAAATCTCACATTTTCCACCAATGTCCCTCACATTGCTCAATTCCTCAAGCAAGGCTATTGTCCCAATTATTTAGTCTCATTTATTATATGGCTGCATCTAATGTCTCGTTAGACTACCTACGTACCCTAAACAGGGATCAAGTCATTCGTCGTTCACATTAGTACTTCAAGCATTCACATTAATTATATGAAGGTAATATACCTAGCATTCACATTAATTATATGAAGGTAATATACCTAAATCAATTTAAAAGTGTCGATAGAACTATCAATAATATGTACGATAAAAAGAAAAAGATCCACTCACCTGGAGTCCACGCTATGATTCTTAAGCGCACACATCGAGGCGTCTCGAATGATTGGCCCCTGTGACCAATTATTGAAACACATCTCAGAACTCTTATCAATAGAATACGTAATTCACGTAAAACACATCCTCAAGGACATTCTAAAATAGTTCGGGACCCATTGACCACAAGGCATTCCGCAACAGAAGACCTCCTTCCAATTCAATACACAAATTCCCCTGCACAAACTTATTCCCTTGAAGAAATAACAAGCTCTTGTGTCGATTCCTTCAAGACCTTATTGCAAGCTCAAAACTTATAATGACGTTTGATTCAAGATCAAGTCACCAAGACCCTTAAATCAACAAAATCTCACATCAACATCACCTTTGCCGTAGGTCGCACACAAACCTTAAGCTAAAGACTATACACAGGTTGTTTCAAGCTCAAAACTTTAAGCAATTGTTCAATCGTTCGTCCGAGATCAAGTCATTGCGACCCTTGGATCAACAATCTACATATCTGCATCAAATTTGAAGATTGAATCAGAGTAAACTTGTAAACAAATATTGTAACCCTACAAATTCATTAATACAAATTTAATTTGTACACGTGTTCTTGTTTCATTTGATACAGAATTTTTGTGTTTATAATCACTTTATATAGATAAAGAAACTTTAGAGAAATTGGATAAAATGTATTAGAATTCGAATCTCTGAAGAGTTGCTACGTAAGCTACGGCAACATCCCTTTTACAGTTTTCTTCTCAGCCTAGATGTTTCACTTTTCCCTCCAAATTCACCCTATTTTTTCTAATTTGACCACTAAGAACATGGCTCCGAATGACGGAAAATTGGATGAAATTGGTTCAAATTTAATTTAGGAGTAAATTGGCTATTTCCAAACAGTTTAAGTGCCAAATTTGCAGATTTAGAAAATAATGAAAAATATGGTGATAGTTCAAGATGGTAAGAAATATTTTTGCTCACCTCCTGAGGTGGGTTGTTAGGTTAGTTTTAATTTTAAAATTTGTGTCTTAAATGAATTAAATCAAACTAATCTAACGATAAGTAATAGAGGGTGAACATTGCCTCCACTGTTGGGGGTCAACAAAATGCACTCAAGAGGATAAATCTCAATTTAACAAAGTAAACAAAGAAAAGAAATATACTGATACCGGTTTAGTCAAATTCAATTGGATATCTTGGAGAATAGTAATAGGGCCTAGGTACCTCATTACATGTTGACTTCAAACTCTTAAAAAGCATTGGCTTCAAACTCTTAACACGCATTGGCTTCAAGTCCATGAGACTAGTTTCCCTGTAAGATGATGGACTAACAAGTTCATATTGTTATCAATTCCACTTCTACTAGCTTCTTCTTCCTCTTAAAAGAAACATACCGATACTAGTTTAGCTGTAAAAATTTAATCTCAAATTCAACTGGATATCTTGGAAAATAGTAATAGAGCCTAGGTACCTCATTACATGTTGACTTCAAACTATTAAAAAGTATTGGCTTCAAACTCTTAACACGCATTGGCTTCAAGTCTTCTTAAAAGAAACATACCGATACCAGTTAGTTGTAAAAATTTAATCCTCAAGTTCAACTGGGTATCTTGGAGAATATTAATAGGGCCTAGGCACCTCATTACATGTTGATTTCAAACTCTTAAAAAGCATTGGCTTCAAACTCTTAACACGCATTGGCTTCAGGTCCATAAAGCTAATTTTCCTGTAAGATGATGGACTAACAGGTTCGCACTATTGTCAATTCCACTTCCACTGGTTTATTCTTCAAACTCATCACTTGATCCACTGTCTTTCTTCTTCTTTAAAAATTTAGTCGTCAAATTCAACTGGATATCTTGGAGAAGAGTAATAGGGCCTAGGTACCTCATTACATGTTGACCGTAAACTCCTAAAAAGCATTGGCTTCAAACTCTTAACACGCATTGGCTTCAGATCCATAAAAAGTTAGGAAAGCTAGAACCTAGAAACGGCTCAAGGCGGAGGACTCATCCTCCTCTTTGATGTTGTGTATCTCCTCCTTTTCCTCCTTCAAATTCTGTGTATTTTTCTCCTATTAAAAGTCTTAGGAGTTTTCTAACATTTGACACATTTACATCCTTAAATTGACTCTCATTTATAGCTCATTACAATCAGCTTTTAGTATAGGAGTAACTAAAAACTAGTTGTTATCAGAATTTGTAACTGAACAGCTCCTCTTTATTCTGTCATAATTTCTTGTCGAAACCTCCGAATCACAAGTTACAAAGACCATGAGAAAGAAGACTTCCAGGGCTTTCCAACCATATATGGCCCATTTTATAATTCGTTATGAGCACTTCAAGGCAAAACTCACAAGTTGGCTGTTCTGTAAGGGCCTTTTCTAACGGATCTTGGGCCACTTGTGGGCTATAGTCTGGTCTTAGGTGAGTTGGGCTTCAAACTATCCATTCTAGGCTCTTAAGATATTCAAAATAAGATGACTTCTTCAAGCCCTTACTTTCATCTTGAAATACAATACAAACAACAAAATATCTTGTGATGCATAGAGATTTTAAGTCAAAAACCTAAGCAAAAGAGGGCGTCAAAGTATAACTTTATGCTCTCAACAAATACCCCCAAACTTAGATTTTGCTAGTCCTTGAGCAAACCAAAACTAAAAGTAACAAAAACAGCATAAAAGACAAACATAAGTTAATCTAAGACCAATTTCGTTGGTGAGATGAATGCATTCAATTTATCCATCAAGCCTTTAAACCTCTAGGCATCCCTAATAGGAGGAGTTGTGTCTTCTAAGGGTTTAACAGTGACGGTACCCATAAACGTTCGAAACAACCTACAAAACAATGATTAGGGCACTTTTGAAACAAGATAATAAGAATCAAAGCTCAACTATGCCTTACGCTCCTAACTTTGACTTTACCTTTCCAGCAATCAAATCTGCATGTTAGTGAGGTGCTCTAGCCCAAATTCAACCTGTTACTAAGTTACAAGCTCAAGCAAGGAAGATAAGATTCGTCTCAACTCTAATCTCACATATTCACTCTTTCACTTGATTCCTAGGGCTTGCTCTCAACAAGTATATGTGAGTGAGGTTATGTAATGGAAAGCAAGATATTCTCACACATAATTCAAGTAGAAACAAAAAAACTTTCTGAACAGATCTCATGAAAGGAATCGAATACTAAGAATATGATAACACACATACTTACTAACACCCATGAATGCGTCCTCAAAGATCAGCTAGGTTTTTCATAAGGTTGTAATGTATGGTTTTTAGGGTAGGGGTTATGAAAGGATGGATAAGGAATACTAGAACTTGAGATATACCAAAGTGTCTTCCTTGCAAAACTAGCATGCTCTCATCTTGAATTGATCTTCTTTACTTGTTCTCGGCGTCCAGGACTCATGGATTTAGAAATTGCATCTTCTTCTCCCTCTTTTTTTTGTTTTTATGTATTTTGTTATGTTTTTAATTTAGAATATGGATACTTAGGGATGCTCCTCCTCCTCTTTGATGTTGTGTATCTCCTCATTTTCCTCCTTCAAATTCTGTGTATTTTTCTCCTATTAAAAGGCTTGGAGTTTTCTAACATCTAACACATTTACATTCTTAAATTGACTCTCATTTATAGCTCAACACAATCAGCTTTTAGTATAGGAGTAATTGAAAACAAGCACTTCAGGGCAAAACTGGCAAGTTGGCTATTCTGCAAGGGCCTTTTCTGGCAGCTCTTGGGCCACTTGTGGGCTATAGTCTGGTCTTGGGCAAGTTGGGCTTCAAACTATCATTTCTAGGCTCTTAAGATATTCAAAATAAAATGATTTCTTCAGGCCCTTACTTTTTATCCTGAAATACAATACAAATAACAAAATACATTGTGATGCATAGAGATTTTAAGTCAAAAACCTACGCAAAAGAGGGTGTAAAAATATAACTTTATGCTCTCAACAATGGACTAATAGGTCCGCACTGTTGTCAATTCCACTTTCACTGGCTTCTTCTTCTTCTTCTTAACAGGTTTCCACTGGCTTTTTCTTCAGACTCATCACTTGATCCACCATCTTTCTTCTTCTTCTTCTGAACAGGTCCGCACTGTTGTCAATTCCACTTCCACAAGCTTCTTCTTCAAACTTATCACTTGATCTTCAACTTCCACTAGCTTCTTCTTCAGACTCATCACTTGATTCACCGTCTTTCTTCTTCTTCTTCTTAACAGGTCCCCACTGTTGTCAATTCCACTTCCATTGGCTTCTTCTTCAGACTCATCACTTGATCCACTTCCAAGTGAAATTTCCCTCGTGAAATTCCCTAGCTCTTCTTTCTTCTTCTTCTTCACCTTCATATTCAACTGAATGTCTTGGACAATAGTAATAGGGCCTATGTACCTCATTCCATGTTGACTTCAAACTCTTAAAAAGCATTGGCTTCAAACTTTTAACACGCATTGGCTTCAGGTCCATAAGACTAGTTTCCCTGTAAGATTGATGAACTAACAAGTCCGCACTGTTATCAATTCCACTTCCACTGGCTTCTTCTTCAGACTCATCACTTGATCCACTGTCTTTGGGATCACTGGCTTCAAAATCATCATGGCGTATTTCTTCTTCTTCTTCTGGTTCCCCCGACACGATGACCTGAGAGGAAGAATGTAGTACTTTAAATATAATTTCTTTTAATAAACTAGGAAAACTAGGAGAATAAGGAATTTTTTTGCTTTTTTTTTCTTCGCTTTTTTCGAGTATATGATGAAGATGACATTTTAAAGGTATATGTAAAATAAAGGTAATAAAAAATGAGGCCTCTTTCAAAGGGAGAGGCCCAAGGCACGGGCGTTACTCGTTTTGCCTCTGGGACACCTCTTATGATGACATGATCAAATTTGAATCTCTCAGCATCTTCGGCATACAATGGACATATCCCACACTTTTCCACCTTCATGTAGGAAGTTGGTTCGCTGGAATCCCCAACCACAAGGCAGAATTCAACAGAGGCTTCATTGGCATGTTTGCAAACGTCAGGGTAGCATTTTTTTGCTACCTCTTCACTTATAAAGGTCATATCCCACAGGTACACGTGATGTTGGTCATAACGGTAGTCATTCAATTTCCAATCAACTAGGCTGATATGGAATTGACTAGTGAACATTTCATGGCTTTCACCCATGAATTTGGCATTGAAACGAGCTCTTATTACCATCCGGTTCAGCTGGCAGTTCAACTTCCAAGAAACAACAACAGCGAGCGCAAAACCCAATAAACCAGTTCGAAACCAATCTTGACGAAGCTTGATTTTTACAGAAGATTCCTCATTTTGATAGCTGAACCAACCTGGAATTTCTTTTCCCGGACATACAACGCTAACCGAAGGCCGCCAATAACTGTAATACTCCTGTAACATTAATGGGAATTATATTTATTTAAATTTGTGAGAAACTAGCAGCTGCTCCAACCTTAATTTGATCAGAGACAAAAACATATATATTCAATTCAACAACACAAGTGAGAAGGACAAAGGGAGACATACATGGTCGTCGTAGTGCTCTTCATCATCATTTTCTTCTTCTTCTTCTTCTTCTCTTAACTTTGACGATGCAATTAGCACTTGCATAATTCTAAGCTGTGCATAATCCATTATGTTGCTCCTTGCATTATCATCCAAATTTCGGCAATTAGAAAAATCAAGTCCTCCTCCAAAATATTGATATTTATCCCCACCTTGTGTGTAGTGTGTGGTCCTTGAACTTGACACTGTCTTCAGTGATGTGCCGCCATGTGCTTTAAGTGAATCTACTAATGGGAGCTCTGGTAAAGATTGAAGCCACTTGCAGCCAATTAAGCGGAGTGTAGACAACGGCGAAGCTTGTTTGATGCTCGCAGGTAAGTTCCTAATCATGCTTCTACTCAAATCTAAACTATACAAGGAGGTTGTGCAAACTAGGCCATCGGGGATTCCTAAAAGACCGCTGCGACTGAGATTTAGAAGTTCCAAAGAGGGCAAACCGACAGAGTTGGAAGGCAATTTTTTTAGTTTCCGACAGGCATAAAAGCTGAGATTTTTAAGATTGGTCAACTTGTAGATACTTCTTGAGACAACCTTAAGGTTCTTGCACATACCAAGATCTAATGTGTGAAGCCCAATTAGATTTCCAATAGATGAAGGAAGCTTTTCGACCGCTGTCGTTTCCAAATTAAGAGATTGCAGATGTTCCATTGGCTCCAAGATTTGAGGGAATCTGTAAAACATCGAGCACCATTTGAGATCAAGACTCACAAGAGATTTCAACTCACAAATGCTCTTTGGGATACTTAAAAGCCTTCTGCAGCCTCTTAAGTCAATTCTTTCGAGCGCAGGGAGAAACTTGATTGATGAGTGTAGCTCTTGAATAGCTGTTTTATTTAAAATTGGAGACTCCAAATGTTTTATTGGGACCGCAATCTCTGGGAAGGATTCAAGTTTAGAGCACCAAGACAGATTAAGGAACTTGAGAGATTTCAACTTGCAAATATTGGTAAGACTGATGAGACTCGTGCAACTTCCAAGATCAAGATAAGTAAGCTTGTCAAGATGTTGAAAATACGAAGGAATTTCAACCAAACTTTTACAGCCATGAAGATTTATGTGCCCAATTTTTTTGCTCCGAGAGAGATTTGGAACTTCAATTAGATTGCTAGAGCACTGCAGATTTATCACTTTTAAGTTCACAAGTCTCTGTAACAAAATTAAAGATAACTAATAAGTGTGACTTTCTACAAGGCAATTTATACCAGAACTAAAATAAACATATATACCTTGTCCTCTTTCCAAAGATGCTTAACTCGGCTATTGGGCATATGAAGCTCAACTAGATTTTCAGGAGAAAATTTTGACGGCAAAGATTTCAAAGGATATTGATCCCAGTGAAGATAACGAAGAGAATTGGGAAGACTGATGGGACAACTCGTGCAGCGTCCAAGATCAAGATAAGTAAGCTTGTCAAGATGTTGAAAATACGAAGGAATTTCAACCAAACTTTCACAGCCATGAAGATTTATGTGCCCAATTTTTGGACTCCCAAAGAGATTTGGAACTTCAGTTAGATTTCTAGAGTACTGCAGATTGATCACTTCTAAGTTCACAAGTCTCTGTAACAAAATTAAAGATAACTAATAAGCGTGACTTTCTACAATGCAATTTATACAATAACTAAAATAAACATATATACCTTGTCTTCTTTCCAAACCTGGTTAACTCGGCTATAGGGCATATGGAGCTCAACTAGATTTTCAGGAGTAAAATTTGACGGTAAAGATTCCCAAGGATATCTGTACCAGTAAAGATAACGAAGAGAATTGGGAAGATCCAGAGAAGTGGTTAATGTGCTGTAGTTTCCAAGCGGTTCAGAATAAACAATTAGCATTTCTAGGTTAAACATCACTTTGAAGTCTGCACGTTTCAAAGGTCGCTTTTCAGTCTGCCAACATTTAATCAATATGGCTTGAACATGTCGAGTTCCCTGACAGTAAGAGCAAAGTTTAAATGCGAATATATATACAACAAAATTCAATCACATTAAACTTTCAGGTATCTGACCTTTTTTTTATGAATGAGTTCTTTGGTGTTTTGCTATTTATTTTTAATAGAAATAGAAAAGAAAGAAATTGAATGCATTTGGCTCTTACCCTATTACTTTCCAGTACATGATAGACATCCTCATCGTTGAACAACCTATTACGTTTACAGGGATCCTTACATTGTTCGTAAACAATTGTGCGTCCCATATCTTGAATCAAATCATGCATCTCTACCCATGTTGAATCAATTGATATGAGAGAAGCGTCAATGAGAGCTCTAATTCCAGCCGCCGCACAGAATCCACGAATGTTTAACATTTTTTTTACATACTCCACATGCTTCCCTTTGTGAAAACAAGCTACATCTAAAAATATCTCCTTATCATTTTTTCCCAATCTGTCATAACTTAGTCTCAACACTCTCTGGATATTTTCATCGGGAAATTGTTTCAACTTGTTCAATTCATCTTCCCATTCTGCTTTGCTCTTGCAATTTACAAACAAGGACCCGAGAGTTATAATAGCTAATGGAATGCCTCCAGCATAATCCACCACCTTTTCTGGCAACTCCTTAAAATCTATTGTAGGAGTATTGTTATTCTTGAAAGCATGTGAACGAAAGAGATGGAGAGCGTCATCCGGTTTTAATCCCTCAACCTCGTAGATCTTATCCTCTTCAACAGTTTGCCTAAATGTTCTCCTATCTCTACTTGTGATAATTATTCTACTTCCGGTGCCAAACTGAAGACGATTGGCAGCTAAACGTCCCATTTGCATCGAATCACTCACATCATCAAGAACAATGAGGACCTTTGTACGAATGAGCCTTTCTCGAACAAAAGTTAATCCTATGGACAGACCTTCTTCCTTTAATATCTCTTTAAGAAGTGTTTTTTCCAAGTGATCTAGTCCATTTGGTTGTTCTAAGTTCTCCCTAACATTTCTCAGAAAACAACGGGCTTCAAATTTAGAAGAGAGTCTGTGAAATACAGTTTCAGCAAGGGTGGTCTTGCCAATACCACCCATGCCCCAAATACCTACAGTGATACAAGCGTCCTGTAAATGAATGTCTAATAGCGATTCAATTTGCTCGATGCGGCTTTCAATTCCAACCAAACCCTCTAAATTGCATGATGATTCACATTTCAATCTGGTCCAAATGTCATCAACAACTTTCTTAATTAGATCTGCCTCCGCCTCCGTCCTGGCATATTTAATTATGATTATGTACGAAATCAAAAATTAGGCTTAAATATGCCTTACCAAATCTTAGCACAAATCAAAATGTCGCAAGTTTAAACAAAATTATTAATTTATACAAGTTAATTAGTTACCTTGATTTTTCTGAATAATCAAACCCAGCCAGATTGGCTGCAGTGGTCAAAGCATCCCTCCACTTCTGCACCTTGTCGATACTGTCGTAGAAACGTTTTTTAAGTTGAGCAAATGCACGCGCATAACTCCCGCGCTGTTGTCGTATATCAGATGGATTGATGTCATAGAATATGGGTATAACTATCTGGCCAGAATTTTTCTTGCATTTGAGTATATGCACAAGTTCCTCCAAACACCACGTGGAAGAAGCATAGTTTTGTGAGAAAATGATCACCGAAAGAGTGGATTTCTCGATTGCCCCTAGAAGGGCAGGTCCGATTTCTTCTCCTCTTTGGAGGTTGTAATCTATGTAGGTTTCAATTTTCCTCTGAACTAAGGCAGCATGAAGATGGCTGGTAATATTAAAGCGGGTGTCCTCCCCTCTGAAACTGATAAACACATCATACTTTCCCCGGAGAGGGGGGTTATCAGCACCATTATCATCGGCAGCAGCACCACCAACATCATCGGCAGCAGAAGCACCAGCACCATTATCATCGGCAGCAGCACCACCAACATCATCGGCAGCAGAAGCACCGGCACCAGCAGAAGACGGAGAAGAAAACTTAAACAAGCTGAAGCACATGTGCAAGAGAGTCATGAAACACTCCATCGTTGTCGCTGTCTCTCTCTCTCCGTCTCTCTCTCTCTCTCTCCGTGTCTCTCTCTCTGTCTCCGTGTCTCTCGCCATTTCTCTCTCTCTGCACTAAGCATAGACAGAGGTAGAAATTGGGGAGAAAGCAAAGGGAGGAGAGAGCAGTTGCCGCAGAGACTAAATCATTTTTCAGTTCAGCAATTACACTAGTTGACTTGACTTGCACCTTCCTCGAAATCTCCAAGAAAATGATCCAACTCAAGCACCTTCCGCGAAAATCATTTATCAATTCAGCAATTACACTAGTTGACTTGACTTGCACCTTCCTCGAAATCTCCGAGAAAATGATCCAACTCAATCACCTTCCGCGAACAAAGATTCAAAGCGTTCACACAAATGAAGAAAGGCAAATTAAGACATAATCATGAGCTCATACGTTTCATAAAGACAAATTTGTTATAAAAGTGGATGACCCAAATAAAAAATATGCAACATCCACCGTTTCTTGCCAGTTAACAGACGTTGAAGATGTGCTGCCTACTTTTCATATCCCTTGGCTTTAACAAAGAAGACATAGTTTTCTTATATAAAGGTCCATCAGCTCACAAATATGCAGATAAAATACAGAGAAGGAAAAATACAATCTCTTCCATTGCTTTGTCATTTCAGTTTGATAATGAGATAACTACTGCTATTGTTCTGAGAATGTAAGCACACTTGTCGAACTTGTAAATATTATATATTATTTCTTTGTACTTGTAAAAAGATCGATCATATAAAAAGATCGAACCTGAAGTTCCTTGATCATCATAATATAAAATGATCAAACCCGAAGTTCCTTAATCAAATTCTAAATAAAACCTAAAGTTATTAAATCAATTGAGAGAACATCGTTTCCTCAACTAAATTAATATAACAACCATTAAGCACTCAATCCACAATTTAGGGATGGACAAAATACCCATGGTTATGAGTAACCGCCATTACCCGTCCATTTAAAATTAACGATTACGGTTATGGATAACCGTTTAAACAAAAAAACGATTATGGATATAACCGTTTAAATAACGGTTATGGATATTACCCACGATTATAACGGATGACTAGTCTCCTGTTTATTGACTCTATATAAAAGTGAAAATAAAATGAAAAAAATCGTTCGTAATTGTAGGAACATTTGATAAGAGTGAAGCTATACGACTGCTTATGCTAAATATTGCTTCTGATCTTTGATAGAGCTTTCTGTAAAAGTGAACTCGAGCAGGTTGATAACATATATTTTATTTCTTACTACTTTTATGCAGTATTAGATTATATGCCCTGGACAAACCAATGCTCTCCCAACTTTACAGATGCCTATTTTAACATATGAAACAATATGACCTTTTGGGTATAAATGTTGAAAAGGCATATGTGGTAATTGTCCTATGTATGAAATATCTATTTAAGGTCTCCATTTGTTTAACATTATCATACCTGTTGCACATGTCTGAAGTTGGAACGAATATATACGTATAAAACCTGAAAGGGATGGAATTGTTTCTTATTAAGGATACCGTGTGTGTGTATATATATATATTTATTTATTTATTTATTTTCTGTTGAACTTACTAGTATCACTGGAAATCATATCATGCATTGCCATAACAGAAGGCATGATTCGATGAACTATGAATGATTTGATCCTGGTTGAGGGTACGTAGGTAGTCTAATACAAAGAGTAGATGCATCCATAAAGTAAACAAAAAGGTTACTACGCCATTGGACCTTGAGTTGTGTTTTGTCCATGTTTCGGAGGTGAGGCATGGTGGATGCACAGGTACATGGTGACGTCACGTGTCGATCCTGAATTTATCTTGGGATTCGAGTGTGACAATGATAGCCAATAAACTTGAAACATTGGTTTTGTTAATACGCTAACTAATTGTCCCATCTTAATTCTAGGGCAACTCTCAAATTAGGGTGAGACAAAAACATACATGGGGTCGCATGTTTTGTTAAGAGATTCTCCAGTGAGGACTTTCATGGCATAGGTGCATTATCGTGGTGGTGTCTTGTACGTGCCCATGATACAATGTTATCACGTGGTGTGTGTGTGTGTGTGTGTACACACACACACTAAATTAATTTGGCATGGGACACACGATGGCGTAGAAGTTACTCTCGTACGGATGATATGATCTCTTTTAGTTTCAGATTAAGTTTTGGGCTCCCTTATGACCTCCTAATAGCTTTTGAAGGACATATTATAAATCTTAAGCAATCTTCAGTAGTGTAGGACTATATTCTTAGTCCTTCATGATTTTGTAGTGTGAAATTTACTTATTTTTCTTTTGCTTTTAGAAATTATAAACAAGAACTCAATAGAAGGTGTTCGGAAATTTTTAAAAGAAAGTGGTCACTAACCGAGAAAATTCCAAACTTTGAACGTGTAAACACGTCAATTAAAGGGAAAAAGCTTGCTTTTTTTAATTTACTATTTTTCTTCCCTCCTCTTTGCCGACATTTTGGTGTACGAATCTTAATTCACTGACGTTGGTGTAGACGCATGTGAGGTTGCTGGCTCATTCAGGTTACTCACAACGAAAAGGGTCCGGCAGGGATCTTAGGGATCTAGTGATCTTATCCGTTTATCGTATATCATGCGGTTAGTTTTTATTAAATATCATTCATATTTAATTTTAAATTTTAAATTTTAAAATAATTTCTTATGGTACGATGTATGATGAACTGATAAGATTATAGAATCTCTAAGATCCTTAAGAAAATGATCGATCCTTTTCCACTCACAACCATTCATATTTGAAAAAATTATTATATTTCATTTTCACATGTCACCACTACCATCACCAAACTACTGTTCCTCTCTTTCTCTACTTTGTTTGATTCACTTATTCTCTTTTTCACATGTCACTGCCATCATCCAACTACTGTTCCTCATCATATGTCTTATTCACTTTTTCACTTTTAACCTTTTCAACCCTTTTATTTTATTTTTTTTTAACAAATGGGAAGATTTTTGTGTTAAAAATTTATATTTTTGAAATTTATGTTCATCCTTAATATGTACGTGTATTAAGGGCTTAAAGTCCTCATTTATATGAATTAAGGAATTTTTGGTTCTGATTTATTAATATGTGGACTAGGGATGGGCATTGATTATGGCGGACGGGTAATCGCGGTTATTTACCCATAACCGTTTATGTTCATACCCGTATAACCGTTTATCCGTTGGGTAATTGCCTAAACGGTTGTACTCATACTCATAACTGTTTATAAATGATTACTCATACCCGCACACTCATTTAATCGTAACTATTTATGCATTTATCCGTCTATTCATTTTGGTTTTTTTTTTTACCATTTACCTTTTTTTTCTACTGATTCACATGTTTTGTTTTTAACAACTTGAAAATTAACAGAGAAAAATTTGTCATAGTTTTCTTTTTTTGATAATTAAATACCGTTATAGGCACATTTAGCATGCATTTTTGGTATTTTAATCTTTCAAATCTTCATACAATTCTAATTATTGAGTTTAAAAACAATATTTTTAGCTGTTATCAATAAATGTAATATAATATATTTGCTAAGAATTGATTTGTTACTAGCAAAATACCTCTCACTTGAGAAAGCATATTGAAAAGAAAATTCATGTATTTTTGACATATTTTTCTGCGTATCAAGAACTGATTGATAACCGTTAAAAATATCAACAATTGATTATTAGAGAGAACTAATTAAAGATATTTTTTAATCTAAATTTATTGTTAAAGTGCTGATTGTTAAAGAACTAATTAAATATGTTGTTAAAGTGCTGGTTGTGAGTTTATAGCAATCGAACTGATCTCCAAGTTAAAGTCTTACAGTCATGCATCCTTGCGGATATACATATCTATATAAACCACCCGAGAGGACCTGATGAATTCTGCAAACGTAATATAGAGTAGCTATGGAAAGACCAAAGAAAATATGACAATCTTTACCGATAATTAGCATGCCATAGGTTTGGCAAATGAAATCGCGCTTTTGCCCAATGGTTTGGATCAACCTCAATCCCTTTCTTCTAATCCGGTTGCAGACAAGGAGGCATGAAGCAGATTTCCTATCTCTATTACTCGCTTAGAGGGAGATTAAAAGAAAAAAGGAAACGGAGGAGCTCTGCTATAACTTGTTCCTGTAATTATCAATCTCATATCTGATATAATATATACATATATATACACACACACCTCCTCTCTCTCTCTCTCCTCTCTGCACCTTGAGAATTTTTTATATGAAAGATGCATATGAAAGAGTTCAACCAACAGACTGAGATATGCGGAATAACACTTGACAACCCCCTTTATGCTATCAATAAAAGAAACAAATGTCAAAGTAGACAACCAGACACATTTGCTTGCCATTCTTTTTCCCATATGTATATAAACACAATGTAAACAATTCACTGCCCATATGTGTGTTCATACCAGGGAGAAAATAATCATCGCGCTAAAGCAATAACCTTAAGGCTAATCAATAGAACTAATATTGTCTAGCTGCAATGTACCACATGTTAAGAGATCCAACAAGCATTATGCACACGTAGTACCAGCCTTCCAATCCTAAATAAACACAATCTGCCAAATCTAACCAACGTATACAATGAACTTGAAATGCAGATTAATCCTGGTGAGCAATGCCAGAACAACACCAAACTAAGACTTCAATAAACACCCATTAAACTAATTCGAAGTCAAAAAGTGTCAAACAAGCAAATTTCAAACTATCAACTAGAGGGCATAGAGTACAAACTAAGAGATTCACTAACTGGCGTGCAACCACCATTTGTTCACCAGAATTAAACTAAACCCACCACATCCGCAAATACCCAATTACCCAAATCAATAAAATAACAAGAAATATTTCTGAAAAAAAGTTCGGAAACAGTTGAATCAAAGACGGGTAAAGTGAGAGATTCATGAATTGAATAATCAAATGGACAAAGAAAGCACCTTGACGAGGCAGAGGATTCCCTGTGCCGTTGAGCTTTCCTACTTTTTCCTCCCCCTTCAATTTTTCCCACTTCTTGGCACCTTATCGGACGATTTTCCCCATTCCCTATCCTGCCTTCCAGAAGCCTCCTCATCTTTCCCTTTCTCTTTTTTAATCTTCATATTTTATAATATTAATATTATTCTACTTCTCCCTCTTAAAATTCCGAAGGTAGATATCCAATTAACCAACTAGAATATTATCAAAGGCATATATAATTGTTTTTGTTTTTTAGTGTCATGGTATTGAGGATGCAGATATAATTGTTTATTGAGTCAATCACTTTGATCAACACTCAAAAAAAATTATCATTTTTTAGCATTAAAATGTTATATAATGAGTTAAATAATACAACTTATATACAGAGTTTCACAATACTTGTCAAGAGCTCAAAGGTCAAGCGAAGCTAACTCTTCTTTTTTTAGGGTATTTTGGTCATTTCACAATAAATGAATTATTTCACACAAATAAATAGGGATGAGTTATAACAATCTATCCCTCTTAAGAAAATTTTATTTCCAAATTTTCTACCACATAATTACCAGAAAAGATAGGGATACTAAGTTCGCATATAACCTTCGATTCACATGTAACTTTCTTGACTTCATGATTACTCCATTAATTTATACCACATAATTACCAGAAAAGATAGGGATACTAAGCCATTTTGGCATTTATAACACCAAACCACATATTAAGTTGTTTGCGAAAAATTCTACATGCGTCTTAAAAGAAACGTATGTCAAGGTGCTCTTTGCAACTTGTATGTTGAAGGGCTTCACAATCAGCATGTGCCTTTGGAGACTGAGGTCCCTACTGAGTGTAGAGGTGGGTTCAAAAAACCAAAAACCGAAAAAAACTGAACCAAACACCAAAAAGAAACCGAACTGAATTATCAAAAACCGAACCAAACCGAAATAGGTTGGTTTGATTTCGGTTTCATTGATTTGAAAACTGACCGAACCGAATAGAACCGATATTTAATTATTTTATATAATATTCAAATTAATTAATTTTTATATATTTAATTATTCTCTCTCTCTCTCTCTCTCTCTCCTCACTTTCTCTCTCTGCCTTTCAAGAGCTCTTTTTTTTTTCTTTCATTTGTTTGTTATGTTGTTTTCTATGTAGTAAAATGTCCTCATATTTTTTTGGTCCAACATTAAATCCTTATATTTCCAACATTAAAAACCTCATCAGTGGCCTTCTCTCTAATAAAATCCTCACGTTGTGAAAGAAGCTAAAAAATCTCTCAAGCTGCACTTCATTTTTTTCATCCTAACATTAAAATCCTTAGAAACCTCACGCTCCATATTCGTCTTGTCTCTAAATCTCTCACCTTCTTACAACTTTTGTAGCCTTGCTGGGTTGATTCATTTGGTTGAAGGGTGATAGGAGCATATTTAGGCGACTTACTTAGCTTGTTTTCGTGCATTTATGTTGTTAATTCATAGTTGTTTTAGTAGTTTAAGCTATTTTCGTTTGTTTTTAGGTCCTAATGGAAAAGGGAGCAAAAAAGTGTATTTTGAGGCTATTTGGAGCATTTTTGGGCATGGATTGGATAGCTTAACCATGGAGCTAAGAGGATGGACGAAATTGAAGGCCACTTATGCACTTTAGGACATACAACAAAGGGCCTAGCCCATTCTCTCTTATTCTCTCCCTTATAGCCATGCAAAGAACCATCCATTCCATCAAAAACAATCCCTTACCGTGTGTTTCCTTGTGTCTCCCTTCCTTGCCATACAAGGAAGGGCTTTGTTCCCTATTTTAAACACTTAAACACCTTACTTTCTCATACCTATTTCAGCCATAACCCACATGCACTCTTAATCATTCATCCATTTCACCACATTCCACCATAGCGCGCACCCTACATGCATTCATTCTTCATAAATCAGCCACATGCACTTTGCCTTTCATCATTGCACCACAAATCAGCCACATGCACTCCCATTCTTTCCCAAAACCGTGCATCCCATAACCCATTCACCCTTTGCCGTGCATTATTCCCCCTACATTCCACCTAATCCACATGTTTTCCCAACAATATAATTGAGCCAACACATGCACTCACATGCATTCACATGCATTTCAAGCACCAAAACAGCCTTGTGTCGTGCATCCCTTATGCCATTTTCAGCTTTCCTAGTTGTCACTCACATGCATTCATCATAATTCACCCTAGCTACCACCATTCACACACACATGCACTTACATGCATTTCAAGCACCAAAACAGCCTTGTGGCGTGCATCCCTTATGCCATTTTCAGCTTTCCTCCTTGCAATTCCACATGCATTTCCAACCTAGCAACTGTTGGAAATGTGCCCTAAAACCAATCATATGATGATACTTTATGGACATTTCACATGTTAAACTAATCTAGTTTAATATTAAGGGCAAACATTATTGTTTGAGCCGTCTCATATAAATGTTATATGCTTAAACGATAAAGTCCAAGGAATATGTGATTGGAAGAATGCGATCTAAAGAAGTTAGATTCATGAGACCATTCTTTCGTTGACACATCCTAAACGTTCCTGATCATAGGATTGTCAATTGGGCATTGACAGTCCGTTAAGATCAGTACGTGCTATGTCTTCTCTCAGGGAGAGTGACTAGTCTCGAGTCATTGGTGTGTGTGACATCAAGACAAGTACGTAGGTGCTCAATAGAGAATGAGTTCACTGAACACGATCAACGAAGAGTTCTCATATTCATGTCACATGAGAACTCATGGTTGGGATAATGCAAATTAGTCTTTTGACCTGAGGCATCACAGTTGTCTTGTGGTTAGGTCCTTAATCTTTGATTATGTCAAAGTCACTCTATCAGGGTGTCCACGGCATCGTCGGGGTTAAGCCACTTAGCCATGGAGGCAAGTGAATGCGCAACAAGGGATCTCTAACCTTCAAACTGTTTGAGGGGGAATACTCTATGATATGATTTAGAATCTCTGGCCAGAGTATGAATGAGATGTTGGAATGCGTTACAGATCACATTCAAGGTAATCATATAAGTACAAGATTCACATTGGATAGTAGACATGAATAAACTATCAAACCAAACAATGTGGTCAAGAGTATTGTATTAGAGAAAGACCGTATTGCATTTGTAATCCTAAAACTGAATAGGTTCTCCACCTCTTCTGATTAGCTTGGGTAACCATGACATGCTGCTAGGCGTCAACCATGGTTTGTGGAAGCCCTAAAAGTGTATTATCACTAACGGGAGAATTGAAAGTAAGTTTCAATTCACAATCGATTTGAAAGAGTTTGAATCGCCCACTGCCTCGCTAAAAGGAACCTAATGGATCGTACACCGTGTAAGGTAGAGATTGAAGATTCAACGGAGATGAGTAAGAATAATTAAATGGTTTAATTATTTATGGCAAGGATTAATTAATATGATTATTAATCAAACGAATAAGTTCGTTAAAAGACCTCGGGATAGTTTTGGACCTTAAGGCCCAATGGACTTCGAACGTCAAGTCCATTGACTTAAGTTGTATGACAACTTAATGAATAATGATTCACAAAGGCCCAAATAGCCTAATAAATCCTTAAGGCCGGCCATGTTAGAGAAAGAGTGGGTTTTGACTTATTTACAAGTTTGCCACTCAAATGAATTAAGGTATAAGTGTGACTTAATAGCCAAAATTTATTAAGGGTTGTTTTTGGGGAAATTGGAAAAACACAAACTCTCCTTTCTCTCTAGAAATGGCCGGCCACCTTGAGGATAACATCTAGCAATCTTACTTCCTCAAGGTCACTCATTTCTTCTTCAATCTTACCTTGGTGTGGAGACTTAGAGGTTCTCAATTTTGGGAACTTGGAGAAACCTTTTCATCCATCCAAATCCATGGATCTAAGATGCAAGGAATGAAGGCCCTCTCTTTGGGTGATTAGCCTTTGCTTATGCAAAGAGGAATCTACAAAGGTATTGATTTCTCAACTCACTTTGTTTTGAGTTGAGTCTTGGTTCACCTATCTACTAGGCTTTGAATTTCATGGGTAAATGTTTTGTTTTAAGTGCATATAAACATGATTCCGCCTTTTAATTGTTAATTGCATGTTGTTGATGTTGCTCAAATGTTTTGTTTTAATTGTTAATTGCATGTTGTTGATGTTGCTCAAATGAACTTGTTTTTTCACAAATCTTCCTTCAGCAACACCCCTTTAATCATTCCTAGCTGCAATTCACATGCTCTCCCATCCATTCTCTCCCTATAAAAACCACACACACTTCATTCATTTGTCATTCAATTCCCACACCTCATTCCATTGTACATACCACAACACAAACACAACAACCCCTTTGGCCGTGAGCTCCCCATCCATTTTCTGCACCATTCTCTCCTCCACTTCCATTTCCATCTTTCCCAACACACTTCACACCATTTCCCACTCCATTCTCCATACAAACACCAATCCAAACCTATCCTTAGACCTTGTGCCACGACAAAGAGGAGGAGAAGAGTGCCTAAACGTTCATACAATTCAAGTTTGAGTTGTTGGAATTTTTAGGTGTTGCTTTTCCTCGATTGCAATGTTTAAATTCAATTCTCTTTGTTTTGTACGTATGAGGAACTAAACCCCCCCTTGGCTAGGGGGGATTCGAAATACATGTTTATGCTTGCAATATGATTTGATTACTACTAATTGCGTTTCATAAGTTGTGGATTCAATTTGTTTAACTATTTGATTGATGACCTATTTATGTATGTTTATTGAGAATGCACGCTTAATTTTCATGCATGAATATGACGCTAGAATATAAGTGAGTTTCACCTAATAGTTATGAACTTATATTCACAAGTAGTGGAGGTTGCTTATAAACAATCGCGTTAAGTAAATTCTTGGCATAAGTTTCATGCAATCATAGTAACGAATGCCTCGTCAACACTTATGGTTTTCAAAGAACTTAATGATTCTTGCTTGTATCTCTATTATGCAATTCATGTAGGGAACTTATGGGGAATGCTTTGGGTTGTCGTATGCAATCATCCAATTCATTAACTTAAGGAAAACTTGACGGTTAATTTAAGCGGACCTAATTAACCCGGGGTGTTGAGAATTCATGGTTTATTGAAAAGCAATTAGAAATCATTTTGTATGCAAGTATAACATGTGTGGAG